CTGGTATTTTAACTACGGAAAGCAGCGACGTACTCAGCTTTTCGGAGTTGGGAGGGAATCACAGAAAACCCCCAGATTTGGCTATAAAAAGAAGAAGAAAAACGCCGGATGGTAAAACATGCTTCATAGGCCATAATCAACCCCTAAGAAATGTGGCCAGAAAACGACTTTCGTGTTACATGGCGAGGAATTACAATAAATTTGGCATAAAAGAACTCGCGGAATCTCCATTGGACAAAAAGAGGATATCCTGACGGATGTTGGTCACGGTGAATAGTTTTTCTTCCTACGTGGTAATTTCCACCCAACCGAACGGTATTTGCTTATGGCCCATGCAGTCTGACCACAGGAAGTCCACAGTGGCAACAGAGAGGTAGGTTTCAGCTTTAATGACGTAAACATTTGCCGAGTACTACTTAAGACTCCCTCCCATGCTATTTGTCAAGAAGATCACTGATAGCAAATCTGATTAAAACAGCCTTTGGAAATTCAGAAGGAAGTGGTCGTCCTGGCTTTCTAATTAGTGACTGCAACAATGCATCATACGACAGATATTACGCTTGGTTTAAGTACTTCCTCGTTGCAAGTCACTATAACATAGTATTGTACTTGTGTACAAATCAGAACAATGAATAAATCGTCACCGACATGTCGGTGATGATTTATCGTGTCGCTACACGACGGAATGTACCCGCAAGTGGGTGTCAGTTCGTGAAAACCGCATAATTAACCATTACGGTTTCACGAACTGACACCCGGTAGGGCGCGGGCACATTGGAACCGACGCGAAATAGACTGATTTCCGTTGTGACGAACTGACGCCCAAGCTCGTAAAAAGAATGCAGCGCGAGGAAAAATGGTTGGCAAGTTTAACATAAATCCAATCCATCCATATACCTGTTGCATTGCACAAAAACCTAATGAATAGTCGTTTTAACTGGTGAAATTAAGATCGGCGACAGTTCGTGAAAACGAAAATGCGTGCGCGCTTAGTGTCAGTTCGTGGTGTCTTAGAGGAAATGTGTCATGCTTTGGATAGTTGAAACTGAAGATACGAGGAAGGGGTTTATCCTGGAGGCATTTTATTCACAAATAGCAAGACATAAAAAATAAATTCAACTCGAAAACAGTATTAACGTTTAGCAATTAAAGCCAAATGTATATTTGTTCCTCTCCAAAGTAAGTGACTGTACTTGTGCGATCCATAACTTGAAATTACTTCAAAAGTGTTTTGCATATTCCTTCAAAAGAATTAAACTCCGTCCCTCACGATTTTTGGAACCTTTGCTAGGCTTGGCCGATCACGGCATGTCTTACGGTTGAGCAAAATGTGCAGACGGTGTTCAAAATCATGTGCGACGACGCTGAGCAACGTGATTTAAACCAAATGCACCCTGAAGTGTTATGTAGCCGGATGATAAGGTCGTACAGTGAGGCCATTGTGACAGGAATTATTGTTCGCCAGACTCTTGCAAGATACGATGCGGAAGTGGGCAACTGGGCAGGCGTCTCAAACTATGCCCTACGCCACACATTAGCGTTGCATGCCCATTGGTGATATTCCTTTATTTTCGTGCAGTGAAAGTAATCAGTAAAAATTGAACTCCATTTTAAGCTAGATATATGTTGATGGTTTCCGTGGCTGTTTTCCTGTTGCCAGGAACCCAAATATGTCCCAACCTTTTTTAATTAAGAGAGAGAAATCTTGTGTAGACAAAGACAAGTCCATAATGTCTCCGCTTCCTGCTTTGGGGACATAATTGTTTGCAGATCCTCACAATAGGCCAATACTCAGTTTGAGCGAAGTCTGCATCTTTTACGTTCATCTTTAAAGTTTTTAGGCAAACTGTGGTTTTTGGTTGTAGACAGATATTACAATGCTGAACATGTCGTGTGAGTCTCCCGGCTCAAAAGCTGTTCTTTCACAGAGATTTGAGTTTTGATAATTGGCCCCCGTCTGCGAAACGTGAGGACGAAATTTGCACTGCCTACACTGTCACCTAACATTGTACATGAATTTCGTCATGTCAGTAGGCCTACTGTAAGTCTTTATCAAAGTCCTTAAAAATAAAAATCAAACTGGACAAGAGGATTTGGTGACATTTAAGTTAATTGCCCCATAAATACTTAGTTGTGGGCTTACTAGTCTGTTTCAGACAGTAGGTATTTCAATTTTTCGATAGGCCTACATGTATTTGTGTGCGTTTGTTCGTTCTTGAATTCCCGGGAAAAATAGAAATGAAGGCTTGTGCAGAAAACAGACTTTCTGAAAAGGCGGCTTTCTCAATTTGACCTCTCTTAGGTATACAGAAAGAAAATCAACATTCCAGCAAACACTACAGGGCCTATGATATACTACGAGTCCGTGCCTTGGATGCGCGCATATTGGGCCAGACAGGTTTACCCGTTATGATGCAGCATTCAACAAGCATTTTTGTGTATAGGCTTAACTGTGTCGAAACACTTAACTTCACACTTTGGCTGGAGTCTCTTTTTCAGTCGTTGATTTTGTACTTCAAAATGTGGAAAAACTATTTTCTTTGTTCCTTGATTGATGGCATTGCATAATAAGGATTGCTCCTATTCTTCGCTGAGTTCAAAACACTATCAAATACGGTCTGAATGGTACTACCAGACTGTTTAAATTTCGTGCGTTTGGCTTAGATTTTCGGGGATTTATTTCAAGGCTGTCCACCAGCTCGACGTCCGACCTGCCCGCGATTCAAATGAATTCACAGTCTTGCCCGTTGCCTGATATTTAATGCAGTTCCTTTCACTGAGGTTATATTCTTAGTTCTTGAATTTTCAGCAGTAAGACTATTTTTCTGCTGCCAGTATGCAGTCTGGTACAATTTATTTAAAAGATTCCTCAGCTGAGAAAACAAAACAACAACCATGGTTGTCATATTGGGTCAGGAAAGAGAATGGCCACCTACATCTCCAAGGCTAACCCCAGGATTTTTCTCGTGTGGGTTATTTAAAAATTGCATGTCCATCCAGTGGAGTATGGAAAAAGACAAGCACTTCCTCGTAGCACGAAACTTCCGTCTTTCCGTAAAATTACATGCACCGGTGCAGTGCCATTCACAGTGGCGGAAGGACGTATAGTGCGGACACGAAGAGATGCCTTGAATACAACAAGGTGCATTGATAGCACATTGGTGGCATCCTTTACGCCTTTAAACTGTGTTTTAAAACGCTGGCTTCTACAGATTCTCATTGCTTCAAGCAACGTCACTTGTATCCTATTACTATGTCGGTTTCGTCATGGTCGTCCTTGGAGTCGTAAAGTCACCCGGGGACGTTGACTGCAAATTTCGCCCTCGTAAAGTGAAGATGTTTTATAATAACTAGGAGAAGCCAAAAACATCGTTTTAAAACTTACAATGTCTAACCTTGCGCAAACCCTCTTTTATTTTCTGGTCTATGATTGAGGTTGGCCAACAGTAATGGAAATGAACGGCCACTGCCCCACGATTTGCAGCACGGGAATGGGAAAGAAAACATGACCATTTTCCAAGTAGCAAGAAGCATGCTAATCCGCAAAACAAGCAAGTTTTACCAATGAAACCAATGACTTATGTTTTACTGACGGATCGACCTGGACATGGGAGTAATGTGGGATTTAGCCTGGGATAACAAGACGGAGCAGAACAATACCTTGTAGGTAATCCAAAGAACATGTACACTCCCCATCCTTAAAGGGTAACAGAATTAGGACACATTTAGTTCTCGTGAAGTATTATAAAATAGCAATAAATACGTAATCATTTCAAAAACATCGTAAATTTAATCTTTACCCCATTAATTACAGTACATGCAGTATCGCATGCTTCAATAGACCACGTTGTGTTTGATGTAGCTAGGCCCACAGGCAAGCACTCTGTCAGTTCAAGGTAGAAATTAAACAATACAGTCCTACCGTGTATTTCTTGAACTGAGACATTGTTTGCTTGTGCGCAATGTACATGTACATTGTTTCTGTCAGCGTGCTGGCGATGACGTCGTCCAATCAGCCTGGGAGCACGAACGGCAAAAAGGGGATTGTTTTGTGGGCGGGAAACGCAGGATCTTTTTATACATTTTGGAGTCAAAATTAATGGGGGTAAACATTAAATTTACGATGTTTTTGATATGTTTACGTATTTATTGTTAAAATATTTCACGTGAACTAAATGTTTTTTATTTCTGTTACCCTTTGATTCAAACATCATACTTTTCCTCGGAGAGCCAACTGTTAGATTATTTAGAACTGTTACATTATTTAGAGCAGACTCGGCAGCGTTTGGCATGGCAAATGATTACCTGTAATTATAAAGATTTCGCCAAATCGGACCGCCAACGCTCGTGGCAATCTCATCTTTTACAGCTAAAACTCACAGTAGTAAGAAAACTGTTTCCAGAACACATCGAGCTATGTTTGCTTTTCTATGAAACACCCACTGAAGTTTTACTTTCATATAGAAAGAAAGATTACAGGCTACTGCCCGTGTTGCTGACATTTCCTGACTTTCAAGTGGACCGTTGCCGTGTGCATATGCGGCAAGGTATGAGATGGAGAGAACCCCCCTGCTTTTGTGTTGGTCATTGTCTCGCAGGAATCTGGGGAATTCCTTTCAGACATCTTGGGGGGGGGGA